AGGCATTCCGCCTTGTGACCACCACAGGTGTTGTGTGCACTTCGGTCTCGTTGACACGGGTTCTTGTCTTGTGTAGACTTTGTTTGTTTTGTTGTACACTTCGCATATACCTCTGTGAACTCTAGGACAGGCCTTGTGGCTCTTTTGCTTTTGCTCGGACTGTGTGGTGTCGTTGTGATCCACACTGAGCTTTGTTTCTTTGTGATTGGTCTTGTGACCCTACGCGTTTGGTTTTGCTTGACACTGTTGGAAACAAGCAACTTAAGCGCTTCTGGTGTATCGAAACACTGAATCGTAAACGAAGCGAACTACAATGAAGCATCGGTGAGTCAACCGAAGAGGTTGACAAGAAAAGCAATAGCCGGAGGTTACGCGAAGGTCAAAGGTCGCTGACCTTTGACTCGACAAATACAGCGCAACAGCAAGGAGAAACAATTGACTCGTTATTGAGCAGTTGCCTCGTCACTGTATCGAACCGGAACAGCAACAGTAAAACAGATATTTGCATCCTTTGATATTCTTTGTAATCTTATAAAAGCATGTACTTTTTTTCTATAATCAATCTATCTTGCCCTCATATACTAGCGCAAGGTGGTTCAAACTCGTCATTAAAACGCTTCCGCAATTACAACATTCCACTCAGAGTTTAGCCTTGAAAAGATCCTAAGGGCTATTCTCAGCCCAACATGGTATGAGAGCAGTCAAGGCAAATTCAACTACAATCAAGTTCCCTACAACATCAGAAGGCATGGCAACTTAGAAGGAGAGAAGCTCCTCTAACGGCTCTCCCTGCACCACTCCTACTCCACCTCCTGCCTCTGGCCTACAGATAGAGGAGGGTACGGCAACAAGACCAGCAGCGAGGTCTACCGAAACTCCCGCAAATCAAGCTGCAGGCTTCGACCCAAGCATGAAGGTGAAAGTTTTCTCCTTCATGTCCTTCTACGAACAGCACCAGCAAGCGGCACCTGCGCAGTCAAACAACAGCAACAACAACAACGAAGTTACGCCCATGAGTCTCGCAGCTCATCCTATGCACGCGGAAACCAGCATCAGCCTACTTTTGCTCCGTACGAGCCTCAGCGCGGCTCCATCAGCTTCATGCCGCATCAACAATCTTCACCTGGACAAGACAAGACATTGGACACACTTCAAGTTCAATCACAGTTTTTACACGTACTGAAGCTGCAGACATCTACGCCCTTTGACGAAAAGGACTTGTATACCTGGTCCTTTGAATTCGAGCTGATGATGGAAGGCGTGCAGATCCTCGGATTCTTCGACGGTTCCCTGCCATACCCAACCCACGGGACGCAATACGACAATCAGCAATATAAATACCAGTCGTTAATGGCGTACACAATCTTGTTACGCAACATAACGCCGAACGAGCAGCAGAACATTCGGTCTTATCGAGGATACGGCAACTCCGCTGAGCTCGCGTACAGCCATTTGAAGGACCTGTATTAAGCAACAGATAGTGTCAATCAGAGTCGGCTAATGGCGCAGCTGACTTTTGTGGAAATGAAACCCGGCGAAATGGGGATGGCGTATATCAGCCGCTGCCGCAGATTGCGCGACAGCCTCCTTCGATGCGGAGGAGCGATCTCAGAAGAGGCATTCGTCACTGTCATCATCGCTGGACTTGGTCCTCATTGGCGCTCCACCCGCGCCCTTCTCAGAGCTCACGGGAAGATCTCCGAAGCAGCACTCTTCGCCGAGATTCACGCTGAGCAGCAAGACATGGACCTGCACGAGGAGCGGCACAAGAGGAAAACGTTAGTACCCGAATTTGCATTCCACACGCAACGGCGATACAACAACAATCGACAGAACAAACATCAACCACAACGGCACGTACCAACATTCTGCCACCTCTGCAAGACGTCAGGACACCCTCGCACGCACTGCCCAAATCAGCAGCAGTCAACACCACCGCAACGTCAACTTCGGCCTTCCAACAGCCAAGTGGCCTCCACACAGGCACACCCCTCGAGTCAAACGCAGTCTTTGACGACATTGACAACACAATCTGCACGAGGAACAAGAAACATTGTCAGCTGCATGGCAAGACTGACAGACTCTTGCATCACGGAGTCACCGCCGCACTACTCACCGGAAGAACAACTCGACGAAAGCACCCCGCGTCGCGAACTGCTGGAGCCCAACCCGACGTACGCAGCTATCGCCCAAAGCGAGCCATCCGAAAATGACACTTGGTTCTTAGACAGCTGCTGCGGACAACATATGTGCTCCTCGGGTCGCTTCGTTCAATGAGAACACCAGCTCCAGCGCAAAGTTATCATCACCGTCACCAACCATCAGAACCTGCGCACACGACGACAAGGGATAGTACAACTTCAGTCACGAGATACAAATGTCATCTTACAGATGTCAAAAGTTTTAATCGCGGAGGGACTCGGCTACAACTTACTGAGCGCCAATCAGCTGATGGCGAAAGGCATTTACCTCGAAGCAGCAGCACCACTCAGGAGTTCAAGTTGTATCACGGGAGAGGCGGACTCTACATCGGAAAAGCGGTGTTGAACAACGTCTTCGTTCTCGACTTTGTTCCAGACCTAGGAACCGCCGACAGCGACGACATCGTCAACTTCACCTCTTGGACACATCCACCAGATTTCGACCCCGACTTCAGTCTTGGAGGCTTCTGGTATTCGCACACCATACCTGAGGCAGAACGAACGAGGGCATTAGCAACAATCCAGACAGCATCGGCAGCATCAGAGACAACATCGGCAGCAGCAGAAACAACACCGACAGCAGCAGATACAACATCGGCAGCAGCAGAGACAACACCGACGCCAATCGCTGGTCCTTCAACAGCACCGGTCTTCTTCGACGACACACCACTGACTCCTATACAGCGGCTGACTCCCACTCCACGAAAATTCCACAGAAGCGCCAACATCACCGCTGGTTTTATTCCAACTCCGACATGTACAGGCGTTCACCCGGACATCACGCCACCGAAAGTACATGGCACGCAAGACTTGGACATCCAAGCAACACGACATTAAATAATACGATACGAGCAGGCGTGCTCGACAAGGAGTCACTGCTCCTAACCGACGGCAGAGAACTCCAGCGAGTTCGCGGAACATGATACACCTGCCCTGAAGCCGACTTACCGCATCAACCGTTCGTCTCTCATCACAATCCAAGCGCACCAGCATACGCACCTCTAGAGAAGGTGTACAGCGACAAATTGTACAACCGCGAACCTGGACAAGGAGCATACAACTATGTCATCATGTTCATCGACGCGGCTACACGTTACGTCTGGCACTTCAACCTCCCAAGCCGCGACATGGCCCTTGACGCCTTCGCCGCCTGGCTTGCAGCAGCAGAGCAAGAATCAGGAGTGAAGCTGAAAACCTTCCAGTCAGACGGGGGGGGAGAATATCAGTCACAAAAGTTCAAGGACTACCTGGCAGAAAGGGGGATCAAACGGCTCATCTCCCTTCCCTACGCCCATCAACAGCAAGGCGTAGCAGAAAGGATGAACAGGACCCTCCAGTACACCATGCGCAAGCTGCTACGTGGCATGCGACTACCCAACCACCAGTGGTCCGAAGCAATGGACCATGCTGTGATGCTGCACAACTTGCTCCCGTCATCATCGCTCCCGAACTGGGCAGCACAAAATGTTACGAGTGTTCGGATGTATGGTACAGTACCGACCCCCAACTGCACGAGCCGGCCGATTCTCCCAACGCGCACAATGGGGACTACACCTGGGCATCGAAAAACACTACAATGCGTGGAAAATCTTCGACATCAACACGAAGGAAACAGTGGCAGCATGTGATGTCATCTTCTACAAAGGACTCACCTTCCCGACATACCTTGCCAATCTGCGTGAAGGAAACCCAGACCTCTCGGACGGATGTCTTGGCAACCGAGCCTTCGCCTCGGCAGTAGACGAAGCTGACTGGGACGAGCAGAACGTGGACAGAGCCTCGGAGGAAGCCGGACCTCTCCCCTACTGTTTGGTCGATATCCCCATGGACGACGAAGACCCTCGCGAAAGCATCAACGCGGAGGTCTACTATCACTTCGCTGACAGTGGTTACGTTACAGCCGCGCGAGTCAGCACCGACGAAGCAGAATACATAGGACCCAATTTCACACCTGATCCAGAAGCGGGAGACGAAGCAGTTTATCCCGAGGATACAACACTCCCTCGCTACACACAGAGCGGACTGCAGCTACTCGGCCTCGTCACCGCCGTCCATGGAGCAGCGCCACCTAAGTAGCCTGCCACAGTTCAACAGGCTCTGGGGGGGGAGCACAGGGAAAAATGGCGCGAGGCCATGGACAGAGAATTAAAAGCGCTCGAAGAACGCAACACCTGGAAGGTTGTACCCATTGGATTGGCACGCAACAAGACCATACTCACCGGGAAATGGGTTTTCCGTGTGAAAACAAAAGCAGACGGCACCATCGACAAGTTTAAGGCGCGCAAGGTCGTACGCGGCTTCGACCAAGAGCACGGACGAGATTTCGCCGTAACGTTCGCGCCGATTAGCCGGCACACCTCACTGTGAATTCTCCTCGCAATAGCCGCCATGAAGCGGAAGAAGCTACGCTTCTTTACTTGCTACTCCGCTCACGTTTTGACAGAAGCTGCTTAGGGAAACCATTCAGTTTCGAACCCATGTTATTATTAAGGGTGCAAGGTCTACATTCCGAAAGACTGCTTGTTTTTTTTATATTCAATGTCTCTTGCGTATCAGGAAACGCGACAGTCGTGTTTCCGACTCTTTAAGTTTTGTCGTTTCCGCCAACATCGAGTTTTTGTTAAGTATATTACTTTGGGAAGGTGGGATATGAAGGTTTTGCTCGTACGGAACCATTCACAAAAGGCAAAGCATGGAAGCCCCTACCATGCTAAATATATTTAAAAAACTGTGTGCTTTATCACAATTACTCCAAGCGGTACTCTAAAGTCACCGTGAACCATCGATCTCCACATCAGAATGGCAGCAAGCGGGGGAAACTTCTCTTGGGCAGGCAACAGCAAAAGAGTTACAGCCGATGCAGCTGGGGTCACCTTACCCCACCCTCTTTCCAACCTCAATCTTCTAGATCCCTCAGCTCTATCTCAGCTCGATGATGATGTTCTTACGCAGGAGATCAAGAGGCGTAAACTGCTAGCTAAGGAGGCTGCAAGCAAGAAAGGAGATGTCAACACCTTGCACAGTGTTCAGGAAGCTGCTCAGGCAGCGCCTCCAGTCCGTCGGGGAGGCCGGCAGAGCAAACGTGGCGGAGCAGGGCGCGGTCGTGCTAGCTCTTCGAATGGCAAAACTCCCGCTGGCGCAACCTCCGCTGCCCCTGATTCCGCCGGCGAACCCTCCCCTGCCGATACTGGAGTCGCGGTCTCGCCTACACTGGCTCTTGCATCTGAGGACCTCAATAACGCCGCTGGTGGCGTTGCATGCAGTGCACCCGAAGCCGCTCCTCTTGCTGGGGGCGTAGGCTGCAGTGCACGTGAGGCTGCTCCTCTCGCTGGCGGCGTCGGCTGCAGTGCACGTGAGGCCGCTCCTCTCGCTGGCGGCGGAGGCTGCAGTGCTCGTGAGGCCGCTCCTCTCGCTGGCGGCGTAGGCTGCAGTGCTCGTGAGGCCGCTCCTCTCGCTGGCGGCGTAGGCTGCAGTGCTCGTGAGGCCGCTCCTCTTGCTGGTGGCGTAGTCTGCAGTGCACCTGAGGCCGCTACCTGAGCTCTCCCTGCACCCGCCTCTGCTGCCGGGGTGTACGCTCCGGGTCCGATGATGACAGCAGTCATGGAGGCCGCTGAGGAGGGAGGCGCGATTCCGTTCGGCAATTTCGGCATTGAGGCTTGTAGCGATGACGACAAGCTCAACGACGACGATGCGGATGATGCTGTCGGTGCTCAAGCGGGAACTAATGCAGAGTTGCGCGAAGCGGAGGTTCGCGCAGCGGAGTTGTGCGCATTGGAGATGCGCGCAGCGGAGCTTCGCGCCGCGGAGCTTTGCGCATCGGAGGTGCGCGCAGCAGAGGCGCGGGCAGCGGAGTTGCGCTCAGCGGAGTTGCGCGCAGCAGAGGTTCGCCAAACGGATAAGGCTACACCCACGTCGCATCAGAATGAAACGGCAGCACCCGCAAGGCGTGAACGGTCGCAAGGTAACGATGCACTTTACCCCTGGTCATTTCGTGAATACGTTGTGAATCTCTTCGAACCTCTCTCCCCCCCGCCCGCACTCGGCCCCACCCTCCCTTCGTGTTATCTTCAAGAGCATTCCGTATAGCTGTTTGCATGCTTAACTTGTTCACTGCCCCTATACCGTTGGTTAAGAGTCTCCCTAATTATAACTCCATGTTGTCAATACGTGTGTCGGTGCGTGTTATCCCCCGTGCGTGTCTTTTAGTTGCTGGTGCGCACCATTTCAGGGAAGCACGACAACTGGAGGCGCAACTACGTGACCTGCAGAACACGGTGTCTGTGCTTCAAGCTCAGCTGCAGGAGGCAAGGACCAAGATCAAGACGGTGGAGGCTGAACGTGACCGTCTGAAAGTGCAGCTGGAGTCGATGTAGCGACAGCTTTCCGCGGAAGTCGCTGGAACGAGCACGGACGTGGATGCGGTTCGGGACCCTTCTGACCCACATGTCCGAATGGAGAACGTCCGTAAGGACGGTGCCTTAAACCCGATCATTCCGTCATCGCTCAGCAGCGATGATGCGTTCGATGTGAGAATAATTACTCTCGATGTGATTTTAGTGGAATGTATTTTATGCCGTGCGTTGTCGTAGCTGCTCTTGTTTCTTGAATCCCGCCCCCTACCTTCCCCCCTGCTTCCCGCCCTCGTCCCCTCTCCCTCTGCCCTCCGTTCTATTCTAAGTACATTCCATGATCACGTGTAAAGCATGTCTGGTGCCTCAATGTAACCCCCCTTCCGTCTGCTTTTTTGTGTTGATTGTCAGGAAATGGTGGGTAAAACCTTCGCCTGGCTCATCACCCTTGCCCTTGCATGAGACATGGAGTTCTATCCACTGTGGGAAGAGTTCCAGCCGCATTTGGTGCGCAAGTACATAGCTGAGGGGACCACACAAGATGAGTACTACCTCTTCATGGGCGGGAACAGCAAGCGCATTGAACGGGCGCTGAAGGTGATTGGCTGCAAACGTGCGAACATGAACAAGCCGATCAAGCTCTGGGCGTGGGGTGCTGGTGGCGTCATTGACAAGGAAAAGTGGTTCCTCTTGAAGGTTGGTGGCATCATTCCAACACAGGCGCGTGATGAGGAGTGGGTCGAGAAGTTTAAACATCGTGAGTATTCTGTTCGGTTGAAACCTTCACACCTTGTTGGTATGCTATAGCTCTCATATCTGATTGCCATCGTTTTACCTCTGCAGCGAAGTATGGCTACGACTGGCACTGCTCTGCTCAGGGCCGACCTTTTGCGAATGCGGGCTTTGAGCTGGCAGTCAAGAAGGCATTCGTCAGTGCCCGGTGCAACATGTTTGCAGTTAAGATTCCTGCAGTCGGCTATCTGTGCAACGTGGTAAGAAGTTGCTTGTGATCTTACCTATATTGTTAATCCCTGGCAGCATTGTTTTTAACGAATAACGAGTTCATTGGTGGCAGGTCGAATGGCCATTGGAGAATCACAAGGGCAAGAAGGGCTATGCATCACTTGACAACAACGAGACCAACAACCGCAACAATGTGCATGCCAAGACGAGGGTGGTTGCGGCATGGCTGAAGAAAACCCTTGACAGGGAGCCTGCCACATTCAAGATCGATGAGCCCATGGGGTTTGAGATGGGTGTTGGGAAGGTTAGGATTTTGATTGAGGGCTATGAGCTGTTTTTCTTCCCCTCTGGGGTCGTTCCAACCCCCTGGCCTCCTGTTAACAATCTGTGATTAGTGAAGTTGCCAATGATATTATGCAGCTTTTACATAATGTAAGGTAGCTCTTCTAATTTTGCCAATTTTAATCAGCTAGAAATTTATTGCCCTAAATATTGTTTCTGTGTTTTGTAGCAATGATTTAAAATATATTGATAATTGTCGCATACAAGCACATCATTTCACACGTCCAAACCGTGATTATATCGATGCGCGCTTTTTACGTATAAATATAATTACTTTGTACAGGGCGGAACATTTAATTTATATAGTTACAATTTGACATTTGTTACTCAGGTAACCATATCGTACACTGTTTCCAACTGTTCGTCGCAATGGTGTGTACCACCATTCCCTGACACAATCGAAGCTGTTCCTACAGTCCACGTGGCCAACCGAACATCACACATTGAGCTGATGTGGTTGACGACCCTGTCGTAAAACGACCGCAACCTGCAGAATCTAAGCGTGGTTGCTGCGTGAACCACCGCCCGACTGTACCTACCTTCTCACCGAAATGTGATTGTCAACCACCGTTGACGGAACCACCAGTTTTGGGCAGATGACTGCCTCGTTAACTAGGCACTGGGTACACGACCATCAACTCCCACGCTGCTTCACCTCCTCGACTGTCAACCGCCCCAAACTGGGCGGACATTTTTCCGATGTTGGCGAAGCTGCTTCGCGCTGGGAGTGAAGTCGGCGTGAAAATTGATTGGGGCGGCACTCGCCAGTGCAACGGCGTCTCCTTCCACTCCGTCCCGAGCTGCGCTGGACCTTCCAAGGGGACGTACCTCTGGCCTGCGAGGAACAATGCATTCACCATGTGGTGAGCTGCCACGATCTGTCGCACAATGGCCAATTGTTCCCTTCAACACAGTTTAGACACCGTCGATTCATTCGGTTCTGTTATTTCACTTGGTTCTGTTGATTTGTGGCCGTCGCCTTCCACCGGTGCTCATGTCTGATCATTCTCCCTCTGCTCCCCTGTGCTCCCCTCTGCTTCCCTCTGCTCCCCTCTGCTCCCCTCCGCTTCCCTCTGCTCCCCTCTGCTCCCCTCTGCTCCCCTCTGCTTCCCTCCGCTCCCCTCTGCTCCCCTCTGCTTCCCTCTGCTCCCCTCTGCTCCCCTCTGCTCCCCTCTGCTCCCCTCTGCTCCCCTCTTCTCCCCTTTGCTTCCCTCTGCTTCCCTCTGCTCCCCTCTGCTCCCCTCTCCTCCTCTCTTCTCCCCTCTGCTCCCCTCTGCTCCCCTCTGCTCCCCTCTGCTCCCCTGCCGACCCTATGCCCTCACTTCTGCTGCTCACAGGGCACTCCCCGTCGCAGACATTCCACAGTCAGTGAAATGCGAGACGGGTAAGCATGCACACCTGGCCCCGCACTCTCTTCCAGGGTGTCACGCATTTGTCCTTCTGGTAAGGGCAATGCGTCTGCCAAGGCCTCGAAGCTAGCCTGCTGCAGTGCGGTGCGCTGTGGCGTGGTGCAGTCCGATGTGGTGTGGTGTGTGGTGGAGTGCAATGCGCAGAAAGAAGGCCGATGACACATGGCGTGTGTCACATGCATCAGCCGCCTCAACATTCTTGTGCTGCGCCAATCACTCGCCTTCTCTATTCTGCGCACACTACTCTGCCATGCCTCTGACCGATGTGAATTGTGAATTGAACCTCACTGTGTCCTTCATCTCCCTCCTCACTCCCTCTTTGTCCCTCCTCCTTGCTCCACAATCGCCCCATGCGTGTCCCCAAGGCTGCGGGGCGGGCAATGTGGACTGTGGGGTGGAGGCCAAGTGTACGAAAAGGGACAGCAAGGCCGAGTGTGTGTGCCCTGGGGCTCTAGTCTTCGACGCCACTGCCAAGCAGTGGCGTGGTGAGTCGCGCTTGATGAGTGAGTGTGAGTTGTAAGGGACGCAAGCTGGGGTGACGCGAGACTGGAGCCTCCTGGGGCGTGGGTGCAGGAGAGTGGGGGCTCCTGGGGCGTGGGTGCAGGAGAGTGGGGGCTCCTGGGGCGTGGGTGCAGGAGAGTGGGGGCTCCTGGGGCGTGGGTGCAGGAGAGTGGAGCCTCCTGGGGCGTGGGTGCGGGAGAGTGGGGGCTCCTGGGGCGTGGGTGCTCGTGCCCTGCGTCAGTCCATGGGACGAGCATTGCAGTGCGTGTGCCCTGCTCGTGTGTCCAAGGGTTTGACTGGTGCCTCCCTCTGCCTCCCATTAGAAGGAGGGACCTGATGCATCTTGAGAAGGAGTGCGAAGTCCCCATGGTTCACATGCGCTGCAATCTAATGCGCTCGCCCACCCAACCTTACTTCCCTCGCCCCTTGCTCGCCCCTGCCCTGCTGTGTGCAGCGCCCCCACCCTCGTGTGCCACCATTGTGTGTCCGACCAACTCCACCTGCAATGCCACTGCCGACCCGCCCTGCACCTGCGATGAAGGGTTTGAGATGATAAACGGCCAGTGCGTTGGTGAGTTTCCTCCTTCTCGCCTTCTCCCTTCTCTCCTTCCTTCTCTCCCTCTTCTTGCCCTCTCCCTTCTCACCGTCTTCCTTCTCTCCATCTCCCTTCTCTCCTGTTTCCTTCTATCCCTCTTCTATCTCTCCCTCTTCCTCCTCTCCTTCCATCTTGCCTTCTTCCTTCTCTCCATCTCCCTTCTCATCTTGCTTTTCTCCCACTTCCTTCTCTCCTATTTCCTTCTCTCCCTCTTCCTTCCCTCCCTCTACGTTCTCCCTCTCTTTTTCTCTCGTTCTTGCTTCTGTCCCTGTTTCTTCTCCCCCTCATCCTTCCCTCTTGCTTCTCACTTTCTCTCGTCTCACCCTCTCCCTTCTCACTCTTGCTTCTCTCCCTCTTCCCTCTCGCCATCTTTATCCACTGCCTTCACTTGCTCTCTCCCTGACCAGACACAAATTCAAGGAACACCACTTATTAGCGGTGGGAGACATTGTGTGGCTGAAGATTTTGAGTTGTTAGCGGAGTACTTTAAGAAATAATACAGGTTGTTTGATGTAGAAAATAATATGTTGTGTTCTGCAGTAACTAGTTTCGGCATGGGGAGCCTTCTTTAGCCCACAAGAAAAAAAGTGATACCTCGAGGTTTATGTACGGTATCGACCTGCCGCTCGTTATTGAGCTTGCTGGAAACCTGATGTCTCTGCAGAAACTAAAGCTTAATAAAGCTACACTGCTCTAACACTTACAAGAAGAAACCAAACTATCAAATGTCCATGCTAGAATAGATCTCCTCCCTATAAACACATCGCATGAATCATGACACTGTACCCAGCTTTGTTTTCGTCATCAAGGGGCCGTCACTTGAGGAGTTGCCAAGTGATCCACGCGTATAAGTTGCTCAAAGTGTTCATATAAACTGGCGAAGAAGAAACCGTCCGCTCATGAAAATGGAAAGAAGCAGCCATTTGGGGTTACTGCGAACACGAATTCTTGCAGAAAATCAGGCGTGGGAGTTGAAAACAATCTTCGCACAAAGAGGATCACACAAGGAATCGTCTCAACTCGGATTCAGCTCACTTTGGTACCGTCATCACCCGGATATAAGACAGTGTTGAATAGTAGACAGGGGTTGTCTATTATACGGGTGTCTCTTATAAACAGGGTAGCCTCATTATAAGACACCTATTTGTGTGTAGGGGCAAATGGCAAATGTATAATGAGGAAGTATCCTCTAAACCGATTTTTGTCCATTTATAAGACTGATTTTTTTAATGTATGAGATAAGACATACATGTCTTATATCCGGGCGATGACGGTACTCGTATGGTAGGAGTTGAACGATAAGTAAGGTACCGCTTCAAATGTCTGAATACGACTTAATTGTCTAACTATGGTTGCTCCATAGAGGGTATGAGATTGCAGATCCCCCTTATCTGTGTTTCCCTTTAGTCATTCATTCTTCAACTCTGACATGTTACAATCGCTATGTTATAGCACACGCAAGTCGAGAGCTTCGGCGAGCGGACAAGCGCAAGGCAGCCCCAGACACAAAACTCCATCCAACGCGACATCAGGGGACCCAGTCCAAAGACTGGTCGGTGAAGCCCTTGGCCGTGAGACACGAGGCCAAAGGTTCAGCTGTTGGGTGGCGTAGCGAACTGCGGAGGACCATAGAAAATGGGGCGCACCGTCGTGGATCATGGAGGTATGTGCGATCTCCATGACCAAGCCTATGCGGTGCTCAGCAAAGCCGTTCTGTTGTGGGGGCTCTGGAAGCATCTAGGAATGGGCGATGCACCGCTTGCTACAGAATGTGGCAAGAATGAAGACAAATGACACGACGGCCACGAATGGTCTTAGTGGCCAGCTATCAGAAACTAAAGAGCAGGAATGATTGCATTGAGTAAGAAAGTGGAACAAATACTAACCCTAATTTGGGTTGTACCCCATATGGGCTACCCCAGTACAGCCTACACACCAATATAACAGTTTGACACACCCGCATAAGCAAAGTGGGGGAGAACAAAGGGTCACAAAACCAGTCAAGAAAAGCAAAGCAAGCTCTGCGTGGATCACAAAGCCACCACAAACTCTGAGCACAAGCAAATGGCCACTAGTCCAGTCCACATGCAGAGTTATATAAAGGACAACAAGCAGTACAGTGATCACTACGTAGCAAGTGCAAGCATGCAGGTATACATATACATATAACATATAGACCACAGTACAAGCAAATTCAAGAAGTGAGCAAGTGAGAAGAAGGGGACACAAGGCCTAACGCAGTACAGAAACGCTGATGATCACTAGGCGGAAGTGCCTTGATGAACACATCAGCAGTGTTGGTCCGAGTGGCCACGTAAGCAAGACGAAGCTGACCACGCTGCTGCAACTCTCAAACAATGAAGTAACGGAGAGCGATGTGCTTCGTTCTGTGCTCCAGTCTGTGCTCCTGACACAAGGCAATCGTGGCCTCGTTGTCTACGTACAGATTGGAGGAGAACGAGGCCACTCTCCCGAGTCAGTCAGCAGGTAGGTGAGCCAGCGTAACTCCTCTGCAGCCATGGCTCCTGCGTAGATCTTAGCCTCACAACTGGAGCTGAGAACAGAAGACGAGCGGGTAGACTGCCAAAGAACAGAGCCGGAGCCAAGGCTGAACGTGTAACCCTGTGACGACCGCTGCGTAGCCAGGTCGTCAACCCAAGACGCGTCTGAGTGTCCATTGAGGACAACCTCACCCCGTCCTCCAAGCACGAGCCTCATGCCCGATGTACTTCACAAGTAGCGCAACACCCTCTTAGCACCCTCCCAGTGCTCTCGTCGGTGTCTCCCGGGAGCAACGTAGCGTGCCAAGATGCTAAGAGGGTAGGTAAGGTCAGGTCAAATGCAGGAGATCAGGTACATGAGGCAGCCCACAAGCTCTGAATACGGGCCACTCGGCTCTACGGACTCGTCCGAATGTGGAGCTAAGAGCGAGTGACCGGTAGCCAGAGGAGTGGACTGTTACAACACTGACTCAACTAGGAACCGGGTCTAACTAAGGGGCCTTGGCTTAGTAGCCTAGGCCAAGCGGGTGTCCAGAGTCTTGTCACCAAGGAGAATTGAGAATGGTTGAGTTCACTATAGGACCAAAGGTACACATAGCAAACAAACAGGTGCACAACTAAGCAAACAATTATATAGCTACACTGTAGTAACTACAGCAAGCAGGATATATTATATATAACTTTAACACACCCCCTTAGCCTGCTTGCAGTAATAACTAGTGTAGTCAACACCCCCTGAAGGGGTAGAGACGGTGCGGTGGGAGACGGCAAAGGGGTACGTGAGGGGAGGCGGCGAGAGGGAGAGAGGAGAGAAGAGGAGATAAGAACAGAGGAGGAGGTGAGTGAGTGATGAGGAGAGGAGGTGGGGGGGTGGCCGCGGCGTCCCCTCTTACTAACCCCCTTTTACGAAAGGGGGGTTGAGTGGGGGATGAGGAGAGGAGGTGGGGGGGTGGCCGCAGCGTCCCCTCTTACTAACCCCCACATCCCCACCCCCAATCAACCACCCTCCTTCAACCTCACCCCCCATTTCAGCCGCCCCCTGGAACCGCACCCCCTCCCTCCCTTCCTTCCTCCACACCCCTGCCCCACCCAGAGTTGTCTCTGCCCTGTCCTTTAGACGGCAGCCAGCCCTCCCACCCCCCCGTCCCCGCCACCTACCCCCCACAGTAGCAGCCGCGGGAGGGGAGAGGCAGGGCAGAGGGTGGTGCTCTGCTGGCGGGGTTCTCTGCTGGCGGGGTTCTCTGCTGGCGGGGTTCTCTGCTGGCAAGGTTCTCTGCTGGCGGGGTTCTCTGCTGGCGGGGTTCTCTGCTGGCGGGGTTCTCTGCTGGCGGGGTTCTCTGCTGGCGGGGTTCTCTGCTGGCGGGGTTCTCTGCTGGCGGGGTTCCTTGCTGGCGGGGTGCTCTGCTGGCGTCTGGTGCTGGTGCCTGGTGCTGGCGTCTGGTGCTGGTGCCTGGTGCTGGCGGCTGGCGCTGGTGCTGGTGTCTGGTGCTCGCTCTTGACACCCGCCCACCACCTCTTTCGCCCTGATCCTCCCTCCCACAGCAGCAACAGCGGCAGAGAGAGAGAGAAGGAGGTGTGGCGGCGGCAGCACTCACCCACCCACACCCCCTGAACCTCCCCCCCACAGCAGCTGTGGCAGAGAGAGGGGAGGAGGGAAGTGTGGAGGCGGCTAATGCTGCAGCAGGTACTCCAGCCACCCCCGCACACTCCATTCCCTGTGATGCACTGTTGGGTGGCAGCAGGTGCTGCTGGCGCTGGCGGTCGCTGCTGACATCCGCCCACCACCCCCGTCCCCAACTCCTGCCCCTTCATGAACCGCCAACCCCCACTCCCAATCCCCAGCCGTCCCCCACGGGCCAACACACCACCACCTCCCCCTCCTTTTGGAAATGGAGCGGGATCTGACGGCGGGGCAGGGACGAGGCGGGACGACGGGATGGTCGCGGGGTGCGGGTTCGGACGGGATACGGGGGATCTGCGCGGACGGTTGGTGAGCTGGCTGGCGATCCGCCGCCACGCCCTTCGCGTTTTTCTCTCTCTTCCCCACAGCGACCGTCGCTGCACACGCGAGTAGCCGCGACGAGGGGATGGGCTTGTGGCGAGGTGCGTACGGGCGACGAGAGGCGAGCAGGAGGCAGGATGCGTACGGGGCATCGATCTGGGTGCGTGCAGGGCGCGGACGAACTGACGCCGGCGACGGTCGGTGGCGCAGGTCAAAGGCGGTCGTCGCTGACGGTGCATTTGTCGCGGTTGGCGCTGGTTAGCGTCACTATCGCGGCTAGCGCTGGACGGCGCAGATATCGCTGCTGGTGCTGGTCGTTCGCGGCTGGCGGCTGTTGCGGCGGGCAAGACGGCGGATCCGTTGGCTCGCATGGCATGCTCGCTGGCGATGTCGCTGGTGCGCCGCTGGCGATTTCGCTGGCGATTTTGCTGGCGGGTTGCTGGCGTTTGCCATAGCGTCCGTCGCGGCCGTCGTGCTGAGCGCCACGACGCGATAGGCGACGGGACGGCCGCGAAGGTACTCGCCGTGGCGCCCGTCACCACGGTCGAAATTAAGGACGTCACGGGCGCCGTGACGAGTGCGTCAAATGGTGGGCCCATAGGAACGTTACGGCTCGATACCATGTTACAACACTGACTCAACTAGGAACCGGGTCTAACTAACGGGCCTAGGCTTAGTAGCCTAGGCCAAGTGGGTGTCGAGAGTCTTGTCACCAAGGAGAATTGAGAATGGTTGAGTTCACTATAGGACCAAAGGTACATATAGCAAACAAACACGTGCACCACCAAGCAAACAATCAGATAACTACACTATACTAAGTACAGCAAGCAGGATCTATTATATATAACTTTAACATGGACTGTGGCGAGGACCATGTGAAGCCGAAGCGCTGAAGGGCCTGGTGCACCATGTGTGACTGAGTCAGGGTGATGGTGCACCGTGCTCTGTCCCGGGTGATCTGCAAGCCAAGATAGCTGCGCAGCTCACCCAGGTCTGTGCACGTGTGTCTCTTCTGGAGCTCCGACTTCACAAGGGCGACTGCTTCAGTGTCAGTAGTGGCAAAAACCAAGTCATCGACGTACACGAGGATGTAGAACGGCGGCAGCGAAGTGTCGGTGCGCAGAAACAGCGACGGTTCAGCTGTCGAAGGAGCAAACCCAAGAGCCGCAAGTGTCGTCCTTAATGTGTCGTGCCACGCACGAGGCACCTGGCGGAGACCGTAGACTGGCCGCCGGAGGCTCCACTGGGTACCTGCAAGAAACGACCCAGTGAAGCCAAGTGGGCGGTGCAGCCAGATCTTCTCGTACCGGCTGCCCTGTAGGAAAGCTGTGCTGAAGTCAAGAGAGTGAAGCTCGTAGTCACGCTGAGTGGCAACGTGCAGCAGTGGGGTAGCCAATATGGGGTACAGCCCACTTTAGGGTTTCATATTTGTACCCAACTCTTTCATAGTGCAATCATTCCTGCTGCTAGATTCTAACATGGTTTCAGAGCACTAGGTCCGTAGGAACGTTTTTTTGGGCCCACCTACCGTTGCGGTTACCGCGCTACCCCACGTGTTGGCCTGCCTGCCTGCATGCCTTGCCTCGTGACGTGCTGCGCTGCGCGCGCCGTCCTGCAGCCCTCGTGCTGCCTCCTGTCAAGCTATATTTGTTATAGCTTATTTGTGTTAGTCTAGGTGTACTTTATGTTTTCCTAGGGTTAGGGTTATGCTTGCTATATCTTGCTTGTTTTCACTTTCCTTAGTCAACACTTATACTTTTGTAACTTGACATGGTATCAAAGCGAAGGTCTCGGGTTCGAATCCCAGTGTGTGCACTTTGGGCATCCAAGTGCGGGGGGGTGTCAGAGGTCCACTTGTGATCCCCGATTGATCCTAGGGAAGGGTTACAGGCTCGTTGTCCTGGGGGGTTATGGGGCGCACTGACCCGCTACTTAACAAGCCCTTTTATCCCAATGGTCTAGTGGTTGGGATTCTGACATGGTATCAGAGCTGCCCTAGGCCAGTACGCCGCCCCTGCAGGCTAGTAAGGCCCACGAGCCGCCCCTGCAGGCCCGTCAAGCCCCCGAGCCGCCCCTGCAGGCCCGCCAGGCCCCCGAGCCGCCCCTGCAGGCCCGTCAGGCCCCCGAGCCGCCCCCTGCAGGCCCGTCAGGCCCACGAGCCGCCCCTGCAGGCCCGTCAGGCCGGCGCGCTGCCCCTGCAGGCCCTTGCCGCCCGCGCGCGGTCTCTGCCCGACCACGCGCCGCCCCTGCAGGCCATTGCCGCCCGTGCGCAGCCTCTGCCCGACCGCGCGCCTCCCCTACAGGCACTAGCCGCCCGCGCGCAGCCTCTGCCCGACCGCGCGCCGCCCCTGCAGGCCATCGCCGCCCGCGCGCAGCCTCTGCCCGACCGCGAGCCGCCCCTGCAGGCCCTCGCCGCCCACGCGCAGCCTCTGCCCGATCGCGCGCTGCCCCTGCAGGCCCTCGCCGCCCGCGCGCAGCCTCTGCAGGCCCGTCAGGCCAGAGCGCGGCCCCGTCAGGTCGCTGTCGCGGCCCCGTCCGGCCGCGGTCGCAGCCCCGCCTTGCCGCTGACGCGGCCCCATCCTGCCGCGGTCGCGGCCCCGCCCTGCCACCGACGCGGCCCCGCCCAATCGCTGTCGTGGCCCGCCCTGCTACTGACGCGACCGCGCCCTACTGCTGACGCGGCCCGCCCTACTGGTGACGCGGTCGCGCCCTACTGCTGACGCGGCCGCGCCCTACTGCTGACGCGGCCCAGCCAGCCCTGCAGCTGACGCAGCCGCGCCCTGCCGCAGACGCGGACCCGCGTGGACGCTGACGCGGCCCCGCCAACCCTGCAGCTGACGCGGCCCCGACCTGCTGCTGGCGCAACCTCGCCCTACAGCTGCCGCGGCCCTACTCTGCAGCCGCTGTTGCGGCCCCGCCGAGCGCCGGCCCTGCCCGCCACTGGTGAGCACCTGCCTTGAACGTGCGCTGCCGCCTGACTGCCTGCCTGCCGCGCCTGCCCTGCCTGCGCTACTACTGCTGCTACTGCTACTGCTGCTACTGGCGGTGGCCAGATGCAGCTCCAGCAACGTCCACGTGAGTCCCTCACGCCCCAGCAGCTTCGTGAGTGGTACGCTAGTTGGGGTTGTAGGGGTGGCCGCACTACTACTGCTGCTACTGCTGTTGCCGCTGCTACTGCTGTTACTGCTGCTACTGCTGCTACTACTGCTACTACTACTACTGGCGGTGGCCAGATGCAGCTCCAGCAACGTCCGCGCGAGTCTCTCACGCCCCAGCAGCTTCGTGAGTGGTACGCGCAGAGTAGAGGGTCTCTGAGTACCGTTCGCTGCCCGTACGTCATTCGCACAGGTGATCGGACTGGTCAGGCTTGCGGGACGCTTAGTCACACACAGTCCCACTGCTTCACCCGTCTGAGCGACGCCTGGCGTACCGAGTTTGGCGACGAGGCTGAGCTCCCCACCTGACTGGAGCTGCTTGGACAGGGGGTAGATATCTATGCTCTTGACTATGATGCTATTCTCACTGCTATGTATGCATTGCCTACTAGTGCTGACCGTGCCTGTTACCTGTGCGTACCGCCTGACCCAGGTATAGAGCCTGCTGCTCTAGGTGCTGGTGAGGCTGCTGCTCTAGGGGCTAGTGTTTCTCTTGCTCTAGGTACTGGTGAGGCTGCTGCTTCAGGTGCTGGTGAGCCTGCTCTCTCTGGTACTGCGCCTCCTGAGGCCTTGTACACCTTCACACTTGACTCTGGTGCTTCTCGCTCCTTCTTTCGCGACAGCACCACCCTCACGCCGCTCAGTCGGTCGGTTCCAGTCTCCCTGGCAGACCCCTCTGGGGGTCCAGTCCGTGCGACCTCCTCCACTGTCCTCCCTTGTCCTGCTGTCCCGTCCGACACACTGTCGGGTCTTTACCTCCCCTCGTTCTCTACGAACTTGGTGGCGGGTTCTGCGCTCCAGGACGAGGGTGTTCACCAGTTCACCCCTGCCTACGAGCGTGTGACACACTGCACGTGTGCTCAGACGGGTCGTCACCTGGCTACCTTCACTCGGCAGCCGGGGTCGGGCCTGTACACACTGACCACTGAGTCCCCTCAGGTAGCTGCGTCTGCGTCTACGTCAGGTCAAATGTCGGCCCCCTGCTCGTGTCGCACCTTGTCGCACCAGACCCTCATTTGGCACCACCGCCTTGGTCACCCCTCGGTGCAGCGCCTTCGCAGCATGCACCACCGTGTCCTTGTCTCTGGTCTTCCCAGGGTTCTCCCTCCCCTCCCACCCTCGCCTGCTCCTCCCTGTCTTCCCTGTGTCGAGGGGCGGCAGCGCGCCGCTCCTCACTCCTACTCGTTCCCTCCCACAGAGGCTCCCCTGTAGACTCTCCACCTGGACGTGTGGGGCCCAGCCCGCGTCCGTGGACAGGGCCACGAGCGGTACTTCCTGCTGGCCGTCGACGACTACACGCGCTACACCACGGTCTTCCCCTTGCGCACCAAGGGTGAGGTCCCTGATGTTTTGATCCTTGGATCCGCGCTGCTCGTCTCCAGCTCCGCGAGCAGTTCCAGTCGGACTTTCCCGTCCTGCGTCTGCACTCTGACAGAGGTGGGGAGTTTTCCTCTGACCTCTTGGTAGCCTTCTGTGCGGAGCACGGCATCCGCCAGACGTTCACGCTTCCAGCCTCTCCGCAGCAGAATGGGGTTGCTGAGCGCCGCATTGGCCTAGTCATGGAGGCCGCTCGTACCTCCATGATCCATGCGGCTGCCCCCCATTTTCTGTGGCCGTTTGCGGTCCGATATGCAGTGCATCAGCTCAACCTCTGGCCCCGTGTCTCCTTACCGGAGACCTCGCCCACACTGCTGTGGACGGGGAAGGTTGGCGATGCGTCGCGTTTCCGGGTCTGGGGTGCTCATGCCTTTGTCCTCGATACCACCGCGGACAAGCTCTCCGCCCGCGCTGTTCCCTGTGTCTTCCTTGGCTTTGTCCCTGACGCGCCTGGTTGGCAGTTTTACCACCCCACCTCGCGCCGTGTCTTCCCCTCCCAGGACGTCACGTTCGACGAGTCGGTTCCCTTTTACCGTCTCT